AACTTTCTTTCATATATATAGAGGAGATAAGATAGATAAATGATAATGGCCATTTAAAAAGAGCTTAATTAAAACAAACATATCAAGTTAAAGTTAGGTAGAACCTTCAAAAAGCTCGCGACCTTTATAATGAACGTCTCGAGGGAATATTAAGATGGGGTTCTTGTTACAACGTGGAATAGAATCTAATGGCGTATTCCGCCATTACTGTCCTATCGCTGGCATACAGCCACGCCAATAACTGGCCGATTAGGATCATGGCATTGGAATAATAATTCATATAATTTTATAATTAACAACACATAATAATACCTACTAATATTATAAATGCGAAAGTAAATCTTTCTGTCTGTCTGTCTGTTACGCTTTCAAGAAAACCACTGCACTGATTTTAATGAAATTTGGTACAGAGGTAGAGTTGACCTTGAGAAAGAACATAGGATAGTTTTTATCCCAGACTTTTGAAACGTTCTCTTGGAAACGCGATATAACCGAACTCTAGTTAAGTAAAGTAGTTAAGGAAAGCTAGTTATAGAATAAATAGAGTAATAGTGAATATTATTGATTCCTTTTATGTATTATATAAAGTTTACATAAATAAGAATATACAAACAACAGTTGGCTGCTCTTTGTTTTTACTACACAACATAAACCGACAAGTTTTATCTCAATAGAATAACTTAGTCTCGTGACTGAAACTGCCTTTACTTTTTATTATAATAAATTTGTTTTTATGTAAAAGATTTCAGTTTATAGTTGGTGAAAATTATATATAAGAATTGTATGATTTTATATAATTAATTTGTTAAAATCTAACCGACTAATAATTTAATTTTAATTTTATTTATTTGGGACAACCGACATTTGTACATAAGTGGAAATATATTTTATACAATTTAATAAACTTAATCTATGTACAAATTCAATGGTTTAATATTTTATTTTATTAATTAAGTATAACGTATAAAAGAAAATTCGTTATATAACCTAAGATTTGGCTGAAAGTTTGTGGGAAGGTAGTTTAAAACCGGGAGACTGTCATATGATATTTTTCATCCCGTTCGTTAGAAAAAGAAAATCTTCTTATTTAAGGCGGAATAGAGTGCACCCAGTGAGCTATACATTTATAATTGTGAAGTTGACACAGACGGCGTCGCGAGCAAAAACTAGTTTCTATATAAATTGAGTTCTGATTTTATATCTAAGTCTGTGCATAAGAAATGCATACTATTTGATATAACTTTATAAAAAAAACATGCCTTTATAAAAATTAAAGCGTAGATACCCAATGAAACATTTACGAGTCTAGTATTAAAAAAAACGTTAATTATATTTTTTTAAAGTCATTTCAGAGCATGCATTACTTAAAACGAATCCTACATATTTTATAAATATTGTAAATTTTTTTGTCCTATGTTTTAAGCTATGAATAAATTTCGTTGATTAAAACTTCAATTTATTCTTTCATCTGTACTCTAAATGTGAATTGTAGTTTCATTGCTGTGTGGATTTTTGGGTGCTTATTTTTCTAAATGGAACTAATATTATTCGGATTACTACGCATATTTTATTATTTTTGAACTACAAACTCCTGACGTTTCGGTTACTTTTCAACAAGCGTGATAACTTCTTAAATAATCCGAACAATATTAGTTTCATTTAAATGAATACTTGCGAAAGTCTTAGATAAAAACCACCACACAAAAAAATATCCGATAGGTTCATCAATATTGTTCATGTAAATCATAAAAATATGAATCAATTAATTTATAAATGATAAAATTCAATGGTATAATGTAGAGCCAATATTATCAGATGCAGAGTGTTTTAACAATAGATGTATTGGCATAGATCGATGGTTGCCACTGATTTGCTCACGGGACGAGAATTTATCGCGGGATTGCTGCCCGGAAATTAATTACTTGCTTTTAACGAATTGCCAAAACAACAGTTTCTGTTACTACTATAAAAATATATAAAAAATGATAGATATCTTCGGATATATCTCAAGATGATATCACATGTGCATTTGATATAACAAACTTGAAAGTAGAATATCCCTACTAATATTATAAATGCGAAAGTAACTCTGTCTGTCTGTCTGTTACGCTTTGATGCATAAACCGCTAAACTGATTTTAATGAAATTTAGTACAAAGATAGAGTTAACCTTGAGAAAGAACATAGGATAGTTTTTATCCCAGACTTTTGTAACGTTCTCTTGGAAACGCGATATAACCGAAATCCACACGGGCGAAGCTGAGGGCGGAAAGCTAGTTTCTTTATATATAAATGAATTTTAAACCAACGAATGATGTTTCGGAACTTACTTTTATGGGCTTTTAAAACTTTTCTTGGTTTATTTTATTTGACCCAATGTCATAAAATGACTATAAAACAACGTCATACTCTCCGGACGTTTTAAATCCTTTTTATTTTTATACCACGTCTATAATAGATATAAATATATTATATTACTATATTATTTTAAAAGGAAAAAATATTCTTTATATTTTTTCCTTTTAAAATAATAAGGCGTATAAGGTATACGTAAAGATTATTACCTCGATATGACTTTTATTCATTGATTTTATTTCATAATATTTATCGTATCCATCACACACTTTCATAGTTGTAACTCTTTTCCCATTTTTTTATTATTATACATGAATGAACTCCAATTTTCAGTTCGTCATTAAAAAAATATATGTTTTATAACTGCGTTTCGTCTGAATGAAACTCAAATAAAAAATATGTCATGAATGAATAAATTTCATTGAAATAAATAATAATTATTGTAATATAATATATTTTCCAATAATTAATTTAAAAGAAACATGTATGTATTTCAACTGATATATTTATTTTAATTTCGTTTACTACACAGAGACAAACTATTGAAATAAATCTTAATTGTAAAAGAAAGAAGATTTTTTTGGGAATTAATTTCTTTATATGAATTAAATATATGTAAATTAAATATTTTATAATATAGAACTCAATTACACAAACACACGAACTTAAGAGTGTTTTGATACCAAGTTTCAGTCGCTTTTCTAACTAAACGGACCATTATACAATGACTACATCAGAATATTTTTTATATAATCTATAAATATTATATATTACACACTCGTAAAATATATAGATTAATATTTAATAATAGGCATAAATTTCAATAAACTTAATTTATTTATCCAAATGTATATCATACTTTTCATAATTAATGTTAATGGATTTTTCCTTAAAAGATATATATAAATCTTATAGTGGTGTACATTTAGAAACATCTGTTTTATAGCAGAACCCCCATTCACGACAAAGTGTTATGGTAAGATTGATGAAACCTGTCCTCACATACCTGAATATAACATGAATGTACGTGCTCTTGTAATGGGGCGTAGAAAACTTTATAAGGTTACACGGTACAATACTTCACGAAGAATAAAAGAATCACTTACATAATACCATATCGAAAACCAATTATATAATTGAGACAAACTAACTAACTAAAGAGCCCACTGCCGAGCAAAGGCCTCTTCTCACATGGAGAAGATTTGAGCATTAATCACCACGCTTGCTGAAAACGGGTTGGTGATTTCAAAAGTATAATTTGAAATTATACGTCCAGGATTCCTCATGATGCTCTCCTTCACCCACTGTCAGTGATGTCTAAATACACTTAGAAAGTACATATGACTCGGAAAAACCACATCGCTACTTGCCAGGTTTCGAACCCGCGCCCTCAGAGAGAGAGGTGAGTCTACAATGTCTATGCTACCACGACACATAAACTAACAATGACACAAATAACTAAATTATATATCAAGATTTGAATTATCAGTTTTATCTGTGTTCCCTAAAGTATACATAATAATCATCAAAGTTTTATTAAAACCCTTTCAATTATAGCATAAAGTTATAGAGGTGTATCTCATATATATAATGATTTATATATATAAATAGTTGTCAGCTCTAAAATGTACTAAACTTGAACATCTAAAAGTAATGTCCTCTCTACAGTAAGACATAAAAGAGCTAAATGTCACTACCAATATATAAAAGACATATTATATAAAATATAACTTTTAACACGTCATATAAAATACTATATAAAAATTATTATGATTCACTTCAATGACTTTACTTCAATCTTATTGATAAATGTATTGACAATTTATATTACAATTAGATTTCTTCAGAATACAATGAAGTTTATCCCATATAGTCATCATTTAAATCTTCTTACTATGATAAAGATTTGTAGGGATTCTATAAAGTAAATTATTGGATTGCGAAAAACGTTTGTGATATTAAATTGAATCTTATGAAGTCTACAAAATATAATGGAAGATACAACAAAGTATTAATCCAATTCGTTACTATAAACGATATTTTTGTACAAATATACAGAATTCTCTGAATATTCATGAAATTCCTCTCGTATCAATTCGAGATTAATTATCAATGCAAGCTTGGATCACTCAAACGTAACTAGTGTTTGTCATGACGCGGTTTGATTAACATTATTTTGCACGAATAATCATATACATTATATTCATTAGTTATACAATATCATCAAATAATTTAATTAAACAATAAACATGATTAATTTTAAAATACTATAGAAATGTCCAACAAAGAAAATTTCTTCGATGAAGTTAAAATAAAAACCGGTAAAACGTCGGTCAGCCTTTACAAGCTAAAGGCGGAGACTGTTCCGCAAAAGAACCCCTTTAAAACTAAGAATAAATACAAAACCACAGAACCATAAACTAGACCTTAAAATAGAAGGCATAAAACACGAAGTTGTTTGTCGTTTAACGACGTCAAACAAAATTACAGAAAAACTTTCGGAGGCCTTCGCGAAAGTTGCAAATTGTAAGTAATGATTTCGAGAGTCCACTTCGTAATCGATAACATAAAAGGACTATGACTCTGTTTTTTAAGACGCTCCCTCTGCGGTAACTTATAATAATTATGCTACTATTTATAACTTACCTAGAATTAGATCTCTTGGATGAATCGTGTTTCTTCCCGCCTTGTAGATTAGGCAGATCCTTCTGTCTTTTCTTGGTTTCCCTCCATATTTTATAGTACAATATACACATCACTGTCACTGGCACATAAAACGCAGCTATGGCTGTTCCGAACGTGATAAACTGGTTTGTCTCTATGAACTGTATGTAACATTCGTGCGGTGGTACCTTCCTCTCTCCGTCTATATACGGCCACGCGTATATCCACGGCGGCCATAAAACCAAACTGAAACCCCACGCACATCCTATCATAACCATCGCACGGCGTGTAGTCCTTTTAGCCCTGTACGTTAAGGGTCGCGTCACACTAAAATATCGATCGAAACTTATTATTAAAAGATTAAGTACTGATGCGTTAGACGCTAAATAGTCCAACGCCAGCCAGGTGTCGCAAATATGAGGTCCGAGCGGCCAGTAGCCGTATATCGTGAACATAGTGAATAGTGGCATAGATATCAAACCAACGGCGAAGTCGGCGACAGCTAACGAGAATAGGAAGTAGTTGCTGATTGTCTGCAGTTGTTTGTCGATCTTAAAGCTTATCATGACCATGGAGTTGCCGACTACAGTGAGCACGGAGAGGACGCTGGCGATGATGGCTATGACGATCTTCTGGGCGAGGCTGAAGGGGCTGGCAGGACGGTCGGAGTCGAACGCCAGGTCTGACAAGTTAGCTGTTTGGTTAAAAGCGATGAGCATGACGTCAACTCGGCGAGCCCGCGGCACCCGCCCCGCCGCTCGTTCGCCGACCGACAGCGGACCCGTCTGGAAATAAACATTTATATATATACATTACTTATTTAAAACATAATTTATATTAATATTTAATCATTATAAAGTCTCATGTATGCTTGATTGAAAAAAAATATTTATATTTAACAAATTAACATGAAATACGTGTGTGTGTGTGTCAGTGTGTGTGTTGTGTGTGTGTGTATGTGTATGTATGTGTGTATACATATATTAATTTACTTTACACGTAGTGTATGTATTATTTTGATGTAACAATTGATAACACTGATAGTATTCATAAAGTTTTTTGGCAATTCGTTTTTTACTTTAATTTCCAATCTAAAGAAAACATTTATGAGTATGCTTATTCAGAACTTGATAATAAAACAGTATCACAAAAATGAAAAAATGTTTTTGTAAATCACTTGAATGTAAATAATCGTGTTATAAATAAGACAAAAATATTTCAATAAATTAACAATTATACAAACAACTTCTCGAAGTTGTTTACACAAATGTACTCAACAAAAATCTCATTATTTATTTAGAGAAAATTTTAAAAACAAGATCATTCTTTCAAAAAAAATTATATTTCAAACATTTTTAATAAACAAAAGCAAATATACTTTTATCTGTTTGAAAAAATCTTAATGTATATAGTAATAAGCATCAAAGTAGATAAATTTTCTCATAAATATAACTTTCAGTCATACCAAAAAGTAGTTTACATCAGACTAACAGTTGAACAGTAAATATATGTGATGGTCAAATTTTTTCCAGGTCAACGACCTCCCGAATTCCCGATATTGCAAATAAAAGTTCCGTGTCACAAACAGGATATCAAGAGGAATATTGCGATGCAATATATTTTTAGAGCCTTTTTTGCCACTCAAAGCTTCTAGCTGCTTTATTCGAAATCGCTTTCAAACTAAAAAATTCAATTGAAGAAAACGCTTCATTAATTCTTTTTAAATCGAAAACAGATTCAGTTAACCCTTTGCGGATTTAAAATTCAAATTAATATTATAAATTTACGAAGAATTATGTTTGTCTGTATGCCTTTCAGTGAATATTTTAAGTACGGGACTAATTGAATTAAATTTTCTATACGAGCAATTTTGATGTATCAAAGGCTATATTTTCCGTTTTCTTTATGGAAATTCTCACAAAAAAATACTAATTTAAGAGCCATTCGAATCCAGTCAAGCCGTTAACAAACTCTAGTACAAAATAAAGACAAATTTAACCATATTTCACTATTATATTTTCACGGGACTCTGAACGCAAAACCATAACCACTTTGATCGCTAGAGCATTCTGTTTTTCAAATCACTATAGCCGTGCAAAAGTAGCCTCTTTTTTCTAAAAATAATTGTTTACGACAACATTTATGTACTCAATTCTTTATTAAAGAATTCTTTGACCGTTATTCCAATTTTATAGGTACGCCTTCTACAATCGTGTGCAATATTTCTTCAAAGCAATTGGGAGAACGATGTAGTCTTTCTGTGGATTCAAAAGGAAGTACTTTGAAAATTTTGCTTGAAAGATTCGACTTGTAGCTTTGTTCTGATAGATAAATTATTTTGTAGGAGTTTGAGTAATTATAAGATTTAACTCATTGTTAAAAAAACGTATTGTTAAGCCGTAACTTTTAGGTATTAGGATGTTAAACAAGTTAACTATAATTTATAAAACGGTGATCTTTAAAAGTACTTAGGAAGTATTACAATGATATAATACGAATGGAAAAAAGAAAAATAAGTTGAATATTTCCATTTTTCTCTTTAATCCAATATAAAACTACTATACGAGTTACTATGTTTATCTTTTACAACAAGCAAACTAGACAATACATAACTCGACCTAATATATTAATTATTAAATACAAAGAAATACAAAACAATATTATAGGAGTAATTCGTTGTAATACTCTTTTTTAACCATTGACCATAATGACGCTGTCAAAGATGACAGCAATGACATGCTGTTTTTAATGACAGTGTCATTCATGACACAGTAAAATGTCATTGTCTTTGTGCTCCGTCACACATAACAAATACGCGAATGTCACAGCAGACTTGATATTTCCTGAATGCACTGCTTTATACCGGTTCAAGCCGATTTGTTCTTGTTTTGTCTGGTATTAAAAAAGCCCGTTCTATTGTAAATGTAAATTATAAAACTATTTTACAAACATTCGTAATTTTATATTCGTTTTTAATATGAAATTTTGCCTGTTCATTTTATTATTTTAAAAATAATTATATAAATTACTAATTATATGTTATTTGAAATCCTATTAACCATTGAGTCACACTGAATTGTACATTAATAAATTAATTATTCATATTATATTTGTATAATATAATACTTATGAATGAACGAAGTTTTATTATTAATTAATTTAAAACAAGTTAAACAAATACTTTGATATACTTCCCTATAAATATTTGTTTTAAGCCCACAAAGAACAAAATAATACAAATTTAATATCTATCTAAGGGTTTCTAAGCTCACAGCTTTGTTGGTACCCGTGAAGCCTCTTGGCGTACATAGAATATATTAAGCTCGGTATCAACATACAAGTACAATCAAAAAGCAGATACACGGTATAGTAATAGTATATTAAAGTTATTTTACGGCTATCTACTAAGAACTATGGTTATTTTCTACACTAATTATCCATCCTTACTTACGATATCAATTATAATGATATAAAAGGAATTATTGAAATATTTTATATGATATCCACTGAAAGTTTAAATTTTTTTATCATTATTGTATTACAGCCTTCGTTTGTTTTTTATGCCTATTAAATAATAATCAATCAGAAAGTTTAAGCTCTTTTAAATGACGGAAAAACAAAAATTGTGACAAACAATATTTGTTGTACTTGTAACGATATTATTTTAGCGTATATATAAAAGAAATTTGGGTCATTTTACGAAGACATATATATTATATAATATAACAGACTATTTTCAGAATAATTTTGTACTACTTTTAGCCTTCTACTCCGTCAGCGTTGAAGGCGACTTAAACTTACCGCGAAAAGTATAAAGTGTGTTAAAACAATACATATAATAACCTACGTTACAGACTTTTCAGTTTAAATAACTAAGATATCGACTGCAGTGTCATCTGCCGGACTAATTTGTGAATCTAAACCATTTGGGGGCCACACGGATACGTACAAAATTCTTTCAAAACTATCGCGCCGTTTAGGATAAGATCAGTGACATATATACATACATCAAAACTACATATATATAGATACACAAATAATTTATCAACAAATCAAAACTTTAATATGAATAAAACAAAAAGATAAGACAATTCAATTTAATTAAAAAATTATAATATTTCATATAAAATATGAAACCTAACATCTGTATGCGAATCGTTTTACATAAAGGAACTATATACACGTATTATGTAAAGTAATTTGAACCGCAAGAAGCCTTAATTAGCCGAATATTACAATCCTCGTGTCATCTCTCACCGCAAGGAACTGCATGCAGCCTAATTCTAAACATCTGTGTACAGATATTAATTATACAATGTAGGTATAACATACAACCTGACAGGGTTTAATAATGACTGTCGTAGGAAATGTCGAATTAAATAAACTTATTAGTATATATATAATATATATAAGTTTTATTTTATATGCTGGTAAAATATAACAAGAGTTTTCTATAACTAAATGATAAAAATAATTAAATAAACGACTTTATTTCATTCGAGAATCTCCTTCGTGTTTTTTCTATACATTACTCAAGATTATTATTTTTTACATTGGCAAAATATACCACTATTTCAGATCGAATGAAACCAAAAAAAAATGTGTTTACCTATTGGAATTATTATGAAAAAGACTTTCGTAAAAAATAATAAATTTTTAAAGTTTCTTTAATAAATGCTTTCATTTAAATCTGCAAATTTAATTAAATATTTTCACAAATTCAATTTTATCTTGTATATTTATCATTATTCATTTATTACAAAAATAATCTCCAAATATCAAACTTGTTATTTTATTTATAATATAAAATATTTCGTCATATATGATCGTCAAATATCACGTCCTCAAGTATCGATAGTAATTCACCAGTCACCCTGTATATATACACACATATATGCAACAAATCACTCAGTTCCTTGTTTCACAATTCTTTCAATTCACACGGTTAAGAAAATTTATTAAGCAATTCAAATTTCTACATACACTAGAGACAAAGAAGTTCATCTTTATCTTAATAATATCTAAGATTTTCGCGTAGACTTATTTACATGAGAATAAGTCATTCTTATACTACTCGTTTTTAATTTATATCTACATGTACCCCAACTTTTGGTTCCTTTGCAGCAACCATGAACACAGACAGATATTTTCATCTCGTCTAACCAGTTTTAAAATCTTAGTTGCATACAACTATATCTCATTTAATCATTAATTTAATTCAATTTTTGTACCGTTTTCATATTAATCTACATTTCCATGGGTTCTATCTATATGGGCCAATGTAGCAATTTGGCCATTTTAATTTTTTTGCTTTAAACACTTCATAATATTCTACAATATCCATTTAAAAAAATGTGTATTATTTAGTTGAAAAAGGCGTAAGTAACACACTTTTTAAAGAAGCCTTTGATCTTCGTAATTCTGGGTGTAACACACTTTTTAACGTATGAAGCTTTTGATCTTCGGGTTTATTATGATAGAACATTAAATCAATGTTGAACACGATATCTTAATTGGTTAACATCCGGAACGCGATATTCCGAAGGCTGCAGATTCGGATTCTGCTCGGGTCAATGAACTTATCTAGGCTATGAGAGTTTTATTCTATGTTATTTGAAAAAATTCTAAATATCTTCAAAAATGTTGAAAATTATTACTTGTTTCCATGTGAAAATAAAAAAAACTACCTATTGTTATGCAATACTCTATCTTCTTCTGGCAATTTCCCAGTTTTAGCCAGGGTCTGCCTTGCAATACTCTTTTTTATTAATTAAAATTTCTACTTTCAATTAACTAACAGAAACACAATTGCCAGTTAAAGTAATTTTAATGAAATTCATCCAACGTTGAAGCAAGACGGAGCGAACAATGCTTCCATTAATTCGGCTCCTTGTTTTAATAAAGGAACTTGGAAGTAATAATATTGCTTTGAGAATTAAAAGCATCAGAATTATATATACATAATATGACACTGTTGTTCATTTATAATAGAATTTCTGTACAATGAAGCATAAAAATATAATATGACAAAATTCCACAATATAACCATTATAATGAATAAGCTCCTTCGTAAATTAAATAGTAATTAATTAGATGTGAGAATTTGCTCATAAAAATCATTAGGAGTTAACAACCATAAACAATTAGAATTATTTCAGTTGAGTTACCTTCAATTTCCAAGGTTCTACTTATCTAAGGTTATTTATATTTATTTTGATTTTTATTTATGAGATTAGATATAAAAATACATGTAAAATATATATTTTTTATCATTCCTAAAAAGTATGCTATCTTTTTCGTGTAAAACTATGAGATGAAATAGTCGAAAAATAAATATTCTGAAACATTAAACAAGGTATAAAAAAAAATATAATGTTATAGAATTGTACAAAGAAAAAGAGTTATAAATAATTTACAAAAACAATCTTTTGATTTCTTTAAATAATAATTAAACATAGTGTACTATCAAACAACTGAATTGATAATATCTTAAAGAAAAAATATACATATAAAGTACATTTAAAACTTTGCATAGACTTAAAAACATCCTTTATTTTACAATAAAAGCTGTAATATTACAATAAATTGTTAGCCTGAACGCCTTGTATTTTCGTAGCGAATTCGTAGCAACCTTGTTCTACGACGCGCACAAAGTTACGAGAGCTACGAAAATTGTAGCATGTACGTAGCAGAGTGAAGGCGTCTTGAATTGAAATTTAGTTGCAATTCGACTAACTCACTTGAGACTAGTGATTTGAATTAACATGCAACTTGGAATCATTTGATTTTTTTTTATTGTAAAAATTCCCATTAAAACACATAATTTTCTTTAAAGTTACATCAGTTTCGGTACAGTCAAAAACAAATCTTATATGACAGCTATCAATGTAAAAAACTCATATTGAATATATGAAGAATAAAGAAAATTATTATAAATTTAATAAAGAAATAATAATAGAATAAAATTCATACATAATTTATATATAGTTTTGCATTAACATATAATATATAGAATTTTTGTATACACAGTTTATAAAAGAATGTGAATTACTATAGTCAGATATTACGATGACACAGCACATACACGCTTATTTATTACAAGCTGGACACAGCTTGAATTTTAAGCTATAGAAGCTATAACGTCACAGCTTGCAACAGATATTGTATACGTAAAACATATAAAATTTTCATGAACTAATATACATATCATTGTAATATTTTATAGATAATAATTGATTAATCAATTTTAAAGTTCTTAATTCTTCATATGAATTAATAATTATAAATAACTATAGAATATATAAAATTCTCTTGTCGCGGTGTTAAACAGAGAACGCCTCCGAAACAGCTGGACCGATTTTGATGAAATTTTGTGAGCATATTGAGTAAGTCTGAGGATCGGGCATCTATTTATCATACCTCTAAGTCATAAGGGTTGTTCACCCTTAATTATTTTTTTTCGGACTATACTTTTTGTTTTTATTTTTTTATAACGTATCATTAAAAAGACAACCCAAAATTTTAATTTTTTTTATGGCAAAAAAATGTTTACCGTGTCAGCTAGTCTCATATATAAAATATAATTCGTAAATTTTTATTAAAACATCTCTGAGTATTCAAATGTTTTAGTCCATCAGACAACAAAGAAATTGTTAATTTCCTTGTATTCTCATTTGACACAATCATCATTGTCTCACTAATTGTTTTATAATCTTTATATTCATACAAATATCAATGAATAAGTATTAATATATATTATAAGTATATAAATATGTGTGTAACAATAAGTCAGTGATGGCCTAGTGGTTAAAAGGCCCGCCTCTCATGCACGAGGGCGCGGGTTCGATCCTGGCAAGTACCAATGTGATTTTTCCGAGTCATATGTACTTTCTTAGAGTATTTAGACATCATTGATTAATGCATTCCCAAAGAGAGGGTTGATGTCAGGCAGGCGGCCGGTCGTAAAAAATTAGCCAAAACTATTCACAACATGTAAGGCAGACCCTGGCTAAAGCTGGGAAATTGCCAGGTAGAAGAAGAAATATGTATGTAACAATGTATTTGGTATTTAATATTGTTTGTTCATCTTTGTTGTATGACAAATAAGAATAAAGTTATACTAAACTTGTGGTTAAAGCAAGTGAATTCAGTTAGATCTCATTCTAGTTAAGTTTTTTAATTGGGAGCCATAATATATACATATGTGTGTGTATGCGTATGTGTGTGTATGCGTATGTGTGTATGTGTGTATGTGTGTATATGTGTGTATGTGTGTGTTTTAATATAAAGCAACATTTTCATTTAGCATGCATTTTTAAATTCTAAGATATTTATTCTTTTTCAGTTGTCATCAATTTGAATGACATGGCAACCCTCCGCCGACCCAATTTCCTCACGTTATTTAATAATATTTGATATAGAATATAGATATGTTTTATAAAATAGTGATTTTCATGAATTCATCAAAGAAAATCGTTTTAAAACATGGTCAATTAATGAAGCGTCAAAATTGTCTATTTCGACTTTTTTATTTTGCTATAATTTTATGATTAAGATTATGCTTGTATATAAATTTATAATTATAATTATTATTGATTGATACATATTTTTATTTAAAGAAGTATAGCTTTTAATTACATGAAGCGAAAAGCTACCTTAGAGTCTCGGATTATTACTGCATACACTGATGTGACAAGCCAAATAGAGTCTTATATCTTTGTTTTAAAGTTTAAAATCAAAACAGTTATTCGTTTAGTTATATGAAAAATATATATAGCTTTTTAAAAACAAGTAATTTACATTTTCAAACAACAATATTCAATACAAATTACTTTAAAAAAATTCAAACTCATTGTTATTAGTAATGAACGTGTTCGCTCGATAGTTGAAAGTGAGAATAAAAATTATTTTCATAACAAACCAATTAAAATACTAATAAATTGGCACAAATTCATACTTTTGTGCCAAAAAAATAGGTAAGGGCGCTTCACGAGAACCAATGATTTATATAATACTATATTTTCATCTGTATATATTTTGTTTTTCATATAAGCTACTAGCTTTCCGCCCGCAGCTTCGCCCGCGTGGACTTCGGTTGTATCGCGTTTCCAAGGGAACCTTTCAAAAGTCTGGGATAAAAACTATCCCATGTTCTTCAAAGTCAACTCTATATCTGTGCCAAATTTCATTGAAATCAGTTCCGTAGTTTAGGCGTGAAAGCGTAACAGACAGACAGACAGAGTTACTTTCGCTTTTATAATATTAGTAGGGAT